TTGTTATTATTTTATTATTAAATGACTGATGTGGGGATATAGGTTGAGTAGAGGCAAGTAGATTCTTCGGATTAAGTAGGAAAACAAACGCAAGAACAAACAAACAAGCAAACAAACAAATAGACAAACAAACAGACAAACATATTTGAAGAGTTAGCCCTGAAGAAAGTTACTGAACTTACTGTTTAGAAAAATAAAACGAAATAAAGCAGTTCAAACTAACGATATAGCAATGGGAGAAGAAATCTGGTTTTAAAAATATGTACACGATTCACATCACCGACACATAAAGAAGCGAACAAACAACTAACACAAAAACGCACACACACACACACACACACACACACACACACACACACACACATACAGACACACACACACACCAAGCAGTCGGCGATGAAACCAACCTCGCGTCGGCTAGTGACGTAGCCAGTCACACGCTCAGCGGCAAAGCATGCCGGCCACAGCGTGGACAAAAGCCCAAAGAGGAAGTGCATTATCTTGGTAGTAGAGAATCTTTGGTGACACGCCTCTATCGTAACAATAGGCTACAGCGAGCGTGAAGCCTTCACATGCTGATAGCTTGTTGTTAGAGTATATCACTTGAACCCCCGGCACAGAGACAAGTGTCTTTTTTGACCGCTCAAGACTTGGAGAATAATAATGTAAAGAGCATATATAAGCCTTCGTTTGAATTGACAGATCAAGAGTTAGGTAAGACGAGCTGAACAAGAAGCTTTGATTCATTTTACAAATGCATACAGGTAGGTGTTATGTCTGAAGTGAAAAAGATTTTTAATCTAAACCAGTTTACGTATTAGATATATCTAGGTACATGAATTTAATAACGCTGAGTTAGAACTTTACATCAGACTGGTTACTGGGTATGTATTAAGCTTGTCGTTATTTGATGTCCACACCAGAATGTTTGAAGAGTAGCCTAGGTATAAAGCTTGTCTTAATTGGCGTTTCCTTCAGAATGTTTGTGAGCAAAAAGCTTGTAGTATCTGATGTTTACATCAGAATAATACAGAGTATACAGTATAGACCTTGCTACCTTAAAGTGTTATTTGACATTCACATCAGACTGTTAAAGAGTGTGTTTTAAGCTTGCCGTTATTTGATTTTTACATCAGAATGTTTACAGAGTAGATATAACCTGTCGGGTTGTTGTTGTTGGTGTTGTTGTTATTGTTGTTGGTGGTGGTGTTGTTGTTGTAGTTTTGTTTTGTGTTTAATGTTCCCATCAGACTCTTTACAAAGTTATGTTATGAACAGGGTCACCGAAAAAATGTTTGTATATCTATCTATCTATCTATCTATCTATCTATCTATCTATCTATCTATCTATCTATCTATCTATCTATCTATCTATCTATCTATCTATCTATCTAT